AACCTCCCGATTCCCTTACACACGTACGCTAAGCGTACACAAATGTACACCCAGAGTACGGAAAGGACCATTTTTGACAAAATTGAAACACTTGAGGGTGAACAATGGAATACTTGGATTGGAGTGTTACAACGAGCACCATGACTAATCTTCATGTGAATATGAGGGTATGACCAGGGGAGGATTTAGTAGGTGTCTCGGTGTGGCACTGATAACACCTCCTTTTTTTGGCCGCGGTGAAATTTTTTTTCGATATTTTTTATTTTTTTATCTATTTTTTCCTGCATCGGTAACACCTATTTCAACCTCGGCAACACCTACTATGTATCTATAACACCCCGTTTATTTAATAAATAAATAAACAAATTAATTAATCAATAGTAACCCTAAATCAATAATAATTTAGCAATGTATTGGTTTCGAGGATTTAATTGTCAATTTTAGAAGTTGGGGGGTTAAAAGTGTAAGTTCCGGGATTTATTTTGTAAAGATTTATAGAAAGCAGGGGGGTGTCTAGTAAGTATGGGACTTAATATGAAAATATTCATGGAAGCAGGGGCTAAAGAGTAAATTATGGACCTAAGTTGAAAAGGTTTTGGTAGAGGATGGGCCATTTGGTAACATAAGGACTTCAATTGAAAACAATTCGGAGAAGGAGGGGTTGTTTGGTAAGTAATGGACTTGATTTGAAAGGGATTTCGGAGGGCATGGTATAAATGGTAAATTATGGGCTAAGATTGAAAGAAAAAGAGGAGGGAGGGACTAAACTTGTCGTTATGGAAATAAGTTATGGGGATCGGTGTATATAACACGTCACCCCCATCCAAACCCAAACCCTAGAATCGTTCAATAACCGCCACCCTTATGCCTCCTGCTCCCTTCCATCCGCCGCAACCTCCTAGCCACCGTGAAGCCGAAAACCGCTGATGCCAGCCGCCGGAGCAAATCCTTTCTACGTTGGAAAGAGAGCACGACAGTCGGAGGATTAGTGGCTGTTGTGAACCACCGAAACTCAGCCGCCATTGCCGCCACATCTCCACCGTTCTCCTTCTCCTTCTTTCTGTCACCACCCGTATCCGCCGATACATCACCGATACGTGACTCTCCAGCCGCCGGATACCGTATTGCACCGCTCTATCGCCCCAACCACTTTAACAGCGGTTCCACCGCCATCTTCTGCCGCTGCTGCGCTCGGTTGGGAATCAAAAGAACCGACGTCACCACCGTGAGGTGGTGGCTGTCATTGCAATTTGTTGTTGTCGCCGCCATGAGCCACCAGGTGGGTGGCTGGAGTGCATCTCGTAAATCTGTAGCGTGTGTGTGTTTATCTATTTGTGTGTTTTGTCTAGCCGTAAAACCAAGGAAGCGACCACCACCACCACCGTGAGGTGGTGGCTGCCACCATGTCCCACTGCCGGCCACCACAAGGGTGACTGTGTGTGTGTGTGTGTTTAGCTTGGTGTGTGTGTGTGAGTTATTTGGGATTTCACATTGTAAAATTATAATCGGGTTGGGATAATGAAAATAAAACTCATAACCACCACCGCGAGGTGGTGGCTGCCGCCACCAGCCGCCGCGTTGGGTGGCGGTGTGCCTTGTTTGCGTTAAGACTTCGTTTGGGATACTTGGACAAAAATGGATTAGAACCATAACCACCACCGTGAGGTGCTGGCCGCCGCCGTGGGCCGCCGTTGACCACCACTACCCGAGGTGGTAGTGGGTGGTGCCCGACTTAGGAAAAACCTAATTGTCCTAATGAAACCCTAATGGGCCTAAGGACTTAGCTTTTCGGCCTAATTGGGTTGTGAGGGGTTAGAAACCCTAATTGGGGTTTAGAAAACCCTAATTTTGGATATATGAATTTGGGTTGTCGGGACCCGCATTTTTAGATGACCGAATTGGGAATATGGATTAAGCCGACCATACTACATGATTGACCCAACAGATTGATGGACTTAATGGATTAAGTCCTTAATGGGCCAACTATTAACAAGTAAATGGACTAGAACACTTGGATTGGGCTTAAGGATAAGGCCCATTGGAAAGGTTTGGGTCCAATTTGGAAAATTAGGCCATAGATGGGCCTTGATAATTATGAGATATTGGACCATCAGAGTGTCAAGTGTTGGACCAAGAATAAATGGTTGGGCCTTAAGGCAAGACCATGTAGAGGTTTGGGCCCAATTTGAAAAATTGGGCCATAGTTGGGCATTGGTCCATTATTAGACTTTTGGGCCTTGATCTTGAGTCAAGCTAACTTAGGGGTAAAGTAGTCTTTTACCCCAAGCATGGACTTATGGATATGTGTTGGGGACCGAATTATTAATTGGGTGTTATTTTGATGTTGACAGATTCGGGAATCTGTCATCCAGCAGCTAGGGTTTTGTCAGCGGGACTTCAGCAGTGTGAGGTGAGTTTTCTCCAGTAGGAACGAGTCTAAGGCCACAATGCCGGCCCATTTAGATGTTAGTAGTTCCGGGCTACGGTCCGATGTCGGGCATGACCCGATGTATGTTATATGCTTTCCGGATTACGATCCGATGTCGGGGCGGTTCCGAGGAATGTTTATGTATGCTTGATGTCTTTGTGATTTTTGCATGTTATGTGTTATGTGTTCCGGACTTCGGTTCGATGCCGGGGCAAGCCCGATGTATGTTAGCCTATATGTTACGTGTTATGTGTTCCAGACTCCGGTCCGATGTCGGGGCAAGCCCGATGAATGTTTATATGCTCATGTTATATGATTATGTTATTTGTTATGATATGTTGTATGTATGCCGGGGCAAGCCCGATGCCGGACGGGGTCCGATGCCCGATGCCGGGTAAGCCGATGCCGGGTTCGTCCCGATGTAGCTGGGTGGTGTCCCAAAGTTATGTTTATGTTATATGCATTGTTGATATGTTTATATGTGTACCAGATTACGGTCCGATGCCGGGCGGGGCCCGATGCAGTGGGCTAGGCCCAAGTTATGTGATTATGTGTATGATATGTGGTAGTTTGGGGAGACTCACTAAGCTTCGTGCTTACAGTTTTCAGTTTTGGTTTCAGGAACTTCGGCTTTCAAAAGAGGAGCTCGGGATGATTGCAGTGCACACACCATTTGTTTAGCTTGGGATGTTTATACTCTGATATATTTTGATAGGTGCTATGATATTTTTGAGATACATGGTTTATGACTTTTATATGATGGATGATATGTATGATTCTTATAAATGACTTTAAAACGAAATTTTTGGACTGTATTTTTTGGATGTTTCAGTATTCCTGTATCCGTCCCTGACTACGAATCATGTCCTACAGTCACCGCAAATGAACCTTAATGACCAATTAAAACTCAAGTAGATTCAGTAGTTGTTAACTATTAACTGTCAAAATCGTCATAAAACAATTTTTCCAACAGTAAAAAACTGTCATAAAACCAGGTTTTTCTATAAGGATTAATGCAAAGTCAAAAACGGGTCAAACATTCAAAATTTGGATTTCTGATGCATTTTTAATACAACAACATAACCCAAAATTCGGTTAAATTCCAACAGCTCGACTCCAGCCAAGGACTCTGCCCCTTGGACCCCGCCAGAGGCTGCCGTCCCTTGGACCCCGCTCCCAGGGGCGCTGCCCCCAGACCCACATTCGTTTAGGGGCTTCACCCCCAAATGACAGTATACTTTGAAAATTGATCAAACTTAAATAAATGTGTACTCCACATCTTCGTTACTTGTTTAATATGTATTAAGATCACTTTTTGTCAACAAATTAATCTCATTAGAGTTAAATAAGATTGATGATAACAAATCACTAATAATAACAATATGGTAATTTTTACAAACATAATACTTGAGCTATTAATATGGTAATTTTTACAAACATAATACTTGAGCTATTAACTTCTCATAAATAAAGGCCAAATCGTTGCGAAAAATAAAAATAAAAAATAAAATACGCATCAAAAGTAAACATGATTCTTTGTTGGACAAAATAAAAAGATGACATAAGTACAAGGACCAAAAACATTATTTACTCGGTATTTAATTTAGAAATTTAGATTTCAACTAGGGTTCGCCCACCAATTTAGAAATTTAGGCCTCTGAATCTTTTACCAAATTATGTTGCTTTTCTTAAAAGAGATTCTAACTCCTTTAAATAGAAAGAGCACCAAGTCCTTACAATCATGTAAAAGTTTTTACAAAGTCTATTTTAGATCACTCTTATATCCTAAAACATAATAAAACGAATAAAAAGGAAAAATAGATAAAAAGATCCAAAAAAATTCTAAAATATGTACAAATACACTACGGAATCTAGACGGTCTCCTAGTAAACTTGTCCGGTGGTGACACTTTACTCCTCCCATTTCACAAGTTTCATTTTCTTATTTTATCTATTTATTTATTTATTTTTGTTTTCTAGTCATCTCTATTTTTACTTATACAACTAATAAACTCCAAAACAATCAAAAACTAATTACTTATTAATTCTACTAATAAAACATATCTAGTTATCAAAAAAGTCATTTTTTAAATCTTTCAACTATTTTTTTATTCAAACACACGTTTACAAATAAAAGTTACAACTTCTAGCTTATAACTACTAATCACCAACTTCCAGCTAGTTTTGTTGAACACGTCTATAAACTCAACATATTGAAACATAAGTTGTAACATAATCGAAATTCAGGGGCCATCAACAATGATAACAATAACTTAATTGAGTAGATATATGTATATATGTATGTAGCATAACCTTAATGATTTAAAAGACATAGTTATGTGAAGAAAAAAAGCATGTAGAATTGAGGAAACTTGGAAAAAAAAATGTTTGAAAAGAAGACGCGGAAACTTGGTGGTGTCACTCGTGGATCGTTAATGGAACCCGCAAGCATGACTCGAGTTGCCAACTCAGCAAACGAAAACTAATATCAGCGTTGATTCTACGCACCGCCCCCCCCCCCCCCCCCCCCCCCCCCCCCCCCCCCCCAATTTTTCCAAATTTCATCTTTACGTAATTGGAATTTGGAATTCAATCTTATTTTTGATTTTAGTCTCTATCAATACCCCTCATCCGCTCATCTTTATTCTCATTTTGTGGTTTACCTTCTCAATCCACACAACAAATACACACTTCATTTCTTCATTTTTCATCTGGGGTTTGGTTCGTTTTCAAGATCACTCATGTCGTTCAGATTCAGAGGAGGGGTATGCACAAATTCTCTTGCTTTAGTTCCTGTTTTTGTTAATCAATAATGGAATCAACTTCGGAAGCTAGGGTTTTCTTTCCTGTCTTTGAATTCTTGGAATTATAGGTTTCTTTTTTCGCTGTTCCCGTGCTTGAGATCTGTTGACGATCGATTACAGTTAGTCAGTAGCAATTACAGCTTTATTCTGTTCTAAATTACTACCCAATTTTGCTACTTTCTGTAAGATTGATGAACTTGGTTATGTTCGTAAAGGGGATCCTGTGTAAAGTTCTTTAACGTGCTTGTTTGGTGTTCATTTGGGACTATTGATTTCTATTTTAGTTATGATTTCTAGAACTATTGATCGTACGAAATCTTACGCAAAAAAAAGTATTTGATTCACAGGCGAATGCTTCATCTGGAATGGGTGTTGCTGATCACTGTAAAGGCACCTTCTTGGAACTGCAAAGAAAGAAGGCTCACCGTTATGTGATCTTCAAGATTGATGACAAGAAAAACGAAGTTGTTGTTGAGAAAACCGGAAGTCCTGCTGAAAGCTATGAAGATTTTACATTAGCTTTGCCTGAGAATGATTGCAGATACGCCATTTATGACTATGACTTTGTCACCTCTGAGAACTGTCAAAAGAGCAAGATTTTCTTCATCGCTTGGTTAGCTTTCTCACTCTTTTGATCTATTCGTTTCTAACATACTTGATTATCTTTTTTGTGTACTTAAATAGATGTTATGGTGTTTGATTTGACTTTTTTCAGGTCACCTGCATCCTCTAGTATTCGAGCCAAGATGTTGTATGCAACATCAAAAGACAGGTTGAGACACGAGTTGGATGGTGTTCATTATGAGATTCAAGCAACTGACCCTACAGAAATGGAGCTTGATGTGCTCAAGGAACGCGTATACTGATTGGTTAGCTTTCTTCAACTTGTGTTTCAAATAAATGGCACCTGCCCTACAACAACACAAAATCAACCAATCTTGTACCCGTCCTCCCATTATTTCTACTTTATGCAAATTGTCATGTATCTAGTTACATATGTAGTTGATCATCTTCTTGATACTATTATATTGTTCTATGCAAATATAAACCAATCTATGACATCCCTGTATGGGTGAACTCTCAATGGACAAAAGGTGTCTATTCATATCGTTCTTCAAAGATGATATTCTTTAAAGAAAATACGAGACTTTATGAAGAGCAGAAGTACAATTTAAACATAAAACAAATAGACATAATCATTAAGGCATGATGCATGAAACAACTTTAGGTTGCTACCACCTTGGATAGATCTTCTGGCTTTACCGCATCATAATCATCCTCATTTTCACCCGACATCTCCTCAAGTGATTTCCCTTTAGCTTCGGGGACCAAAAGTGTAAAAAGAACACCCAAAAAGTTAACAACACCCAACACAATAAGAGCGTTCTTAACACCAATACCCGGAGAATACCCCACGTCGGGTTTCTTTTTATCTTGAGCCAAATATAAAAACCCGAAAGCACCAACAATCGCCCCGAGCTTTCCCGATGCCGCCGATATCCCATGACAAGTTGACCGCAACCGGGCCGGGAAAATCTCGGCGGGCACGATAAACGTGGTGGCATTCGGGCCAAAATTGGCGAAAAAGAAAGTGAAAGAGTACATCACCACAAACCCGATTCGGTTATCGTGTTCTTTCCAATGATTGTAAGGGATTGCTAATGCGAACATAAAGATTGTCATCATTGTAAACCCCATGAGTTGGATTTTGAACCGACCCATTCGGTCAATGAAGGCAACTGTAAACCAATACCCGGGAACCGTGCTACAAAGCGCAATTATCGTTTGGGCTCTCGCGATTCTAAAAACCTCTTCAATCGCGCTCATGGTCTTCGCGGGTGGAATCCATCCAATCGCGCTAAAAACGTCTTTTTGGAAGAGATTTTGACTGTAAAACGCAATGTCGAGTAAGAACCACGTGGTGGTAGTCCCAAGGAGGTGGAGCCCGTGGCGGCGGAGAAATTGTTTTGTAAACAAACCGAACGAATTCGAATCTTTTTCAGTTATTTCCTCGACTTTTCCTTGTTCGGCTTCAATATCGACTTGCATAACACGGGCCATGTCCGCCGCCGCCTTTCCCGCGTTCTTGGCGACTAAAGCAGTGTACCGGGCCGTTTCCGGCATCTTCATTCGCCAGTAATACGTCATTCCGGCCGGAATCGCGCCAAACATCAAGATGATTCGCCATATGTAATCGGCTTGGTGAGGAGTGGAACGGAGTGCGTCGGTCACATATGGTGGAACGTTGTACTTAGCTTTAAACGATGATGATACGATAATTGCGAAAATGCCACCGACTAAAATCCCGAAACCTTGCATAGCGAAAACCGCAGCGATAAAAGCTCCTCGGGTTTTTTTATTCGCGTATTCCGACATTATAGTGGCGGAAAGAGGGTAGTCGCCTCCGATTCCAAACCCTAGCCAGAATCGAAAGAAACAAAGGGTGATCATGACTGCTTTCGGGTCATTGCTAAACGAAAGGCCGGAGGCTATGGAGCAAATCACCATGATCAAAAGTGTCATTCCGTACACTTTTTTCCTTCCCATTTTGTCCCCGAGCCAGCCGAAGAAGAGTTGACCGGTTAGGGTTCCACAAAACGCGACACTGTTGACTGCCGCCGCCACTTGGGGCGGCAGTGTGCCGGGATTTGGGTGGTCCTCAACATGGTAGTAAATCCGGCCGAGTAATTTTGTGACAAGTGAGATGCAAAAGAGATCATATGCATCTGTGAAGAAACCCATTCCGGCGATTATGATTGCTGTGAAATGGTACCATTGTGTTTTTGCAAGATCAAGTGCGTGAAGCACTTGAAGTTGATCACCAGCCATTGCTAACTTTACATGAAATGATTAATCAGGAAAAAAAAAACTGTTGTGTATTAATAATATACACAAATGTGTTCTTGATGGACGTTAGAAACAAGAAATACAGAATATACCTTTGACAGCAATACAATTTTGGGACTAAAATACAATTTTGGTGATGGGAAATCATCAAATTGTTTGACGATTTTGAGATTATTGTATATTTTAAGACAGCAAATTTCTTGTCTGATTTCTGAGCTATTTGGATTTTTTTGTGTGTCAAAATTAATGAGTTGAGGTGTTTGCCGAAGGCATATTCAAGAAACAGATTAGCCGTAGAGATATATGATTTTGATGTTTACAAAGTCGGAACAAAATTCTGAAACATATTTTCTGATTATTAAAGCAAACTTTGTATTCTGGTTGTTGTTTTACATGTTATTCTGCATTCGATTTTTTATATTTATCGAAAATGTTAAATTGTTTGGCGAACTTTTTGTATTCGTAGATAAAGTCAAGTTGTTTTTGGACTATCTGAATCAAACCTTTGTTTCGTGATGGTTGAAAGTTGAAACTTGAAATGCTCTAGTTGGGTTGGGGTTGCATTTGCAAATTGCAATGAGCTGGTTTAGATGTGGTTAGCTGACGATTTGGTCCAAAATTAGTGATTGAGTGTGTTATAAACGATGGAGTTATTAAAGTAAAGATTGATCTATTTTATAAAGGAGTCTCTATTTATAGTATAGACCTCTAGATATGAATTTTGAATTAACGTCTTACAACAGAAATTGACCGAAAGTGGTTTTTTTCCTTGTGTAATTTGTAATTTAAATTTTGTATAACTATATGCGATGCTGCAGGAATTTTATATATTTACAGTTGTGAGTGATAATTTATAATGGGCAATGTTCCAAATGACGCGAGACGTGAAATTGTGGAAGACCGACTTATGACGCGTGTTTGTGTGTGCGAGCATGTGCATGAAAAACACCACCACCACCATCACCACTTAACACAATGTTGTATATACTCATCGAGCTTTTGTCTCTAATGAGAGTGTTGATATATCACACATCGATACGAGACCCTATACGAGACCCTATTCTCCCGGTCTCTATAATAACTTTTTTGATGAGTAAACAAAAGACTCCGTATATACCATTTAAACACCAAGGGGGTGTTTGGGATTGCTTTTCAAAACAGCTTATTGACTTTTTGAAAAACTAATAAAGTCAAAAAAAATGTTTGACAAACTCAAAAACACTTTTTAGAATAGCTTTTCTATAAGCTTCAAAAAACATTTTTTAATAAGCATGTAAAATTTGGCTTTTTGAAATTGTTTATGACTTTTTAACCAAAATAACTTTAAAAAACACTTTTTTCAGCCAAACATTTTTTAACTTATTGACTTGTTGGTTTTTTCACCATAAAAGCTAATCCAAATACTTTTTAAAAAGTTCATTTTACCACCATTATAAACCAATAAACACTTTTATCTAAAAGCACTTTTAGAATTCAAAAAACACTCCCAAACATCCCCAAAAGACTAAGTAGACAACAAAAGAAAAGAATCTATATATTTATAGATTTATATTAAATATATCACCTTTACAAAAGTGTTATATCAACACAAGAACCCATTGGTTTCGTGCATTGTCATACTCCATTATTATCATATTCATATATAACAAGAACTCAATGGTTTGATGCTCGACATTAATTTAACCGATCTAACAAAAAAACAATGGTTTCATGCACGATGGCACGCGTCTGCGTAGCGGATATACAAAAGTTTATATCTTACGGTATGTATAGTATAAAAGATTTAACATGAATCTAGTGGTGTCACACATGATCAAGAAAAGCAAAAGAAAATGCACCTTGAAAAGAAAAAACTCCAAGCGTTACGCGCTATGGTGCGCCTCGAATCACCTCAACACAAGCCATGCCTTACAACATCGTCATGGGGCTTTTTTGGACGTAGGAGTCGTGCCTTGCCATAACACACCTTTTAGAACTCCGAAAATAGGGGTGGGAAAAATAGAATATGAGCCAAAAAACTCCTTATCTACTTTGGCGAGCAACTCATTTGTCAACTATATGTCAACTAAGGAATTCAGAAAAAACTCATTTGTCAACTATGTTGAGATTTCTAGATCAACAAGGTAAACAAATTAAGAAAAGGTCAACACCAAATGGATGATATGCTTAATTAGAAGAATGTTCCGTCTTTTTATTCATATGGTCTAAATTAGACCATATGTCACCTAACAACTATTTCTGTTATTTAGTCACTAAACTTTATTTAATTCGTAAAATGTCACCTAATAGCTATTTTTATTCAAAGTGGTCACCAAACATGCTATCATTGTTCATAAAAACCACTCTGAATGAAAAACAACACATTTAGTAATTGTTTATAAACAAAGTTTATTGACTAAGCACAAATTCGACTTTAATATTTTTTAATTCTTTTTCATGTTTTAGATTTCTTTCATACAACAAATCATGTCGATCGTCAAAGATAACATTCTTTTAACATGTAACATATAACATTGATATATTTAATTAAACAAGATATTAGCAATTTAATAACATAGTTGTACGTTTAAAGATTAATAAATATGTGAGACGACATGAAGAGTGAGTTATTTTGTGTAGGTTTTCTAGGTCATTGGTGATGATGAATCATGAACACTAATTTTGGAAATGTAATTGGTCAAAATCCAGACGGCGATGCCAACTAGGTGGTCAAAATACAAAACACTTCTACATATCGATGCATATCTAATTTTGAGGTTTAATGAATTAACTTTTTATATTAGCTAAAAGTTGTATTTATTTTACAAGATTTGTGAACATGCATAAATGACAAGTAAAAATATATAAATAGGATAATATTTCTATATTTTTAATTAATAAAATAATACTAATAATTAAACTAAAAGAAGTAAACTCTGATTGGGGGGTTTTGTATATGATTTTTCAAGTTTAGAAAAACTTAGTTAAAACAATCTACTAAAAACACTTTAAACTAAAACAAGAAACTAGAAAATGAAATTTGATCAATAATTAAAATATACTTCCGTTTAGCTTTGAATCCTCCCTTTTCCTATGGTTAATTTCAAGTAATAGATTAATTCCGTAAGTTACAAAATTACTAGTTATCATGACTAACTAGCATATGTCAATTTATGAAATTTAACCCTAATGATCATGCAAGTTAAGTACACCAAATTGATTTTAAAATATATTTGGACTATGAATGAATAGATCAAAGAATTATCTATCTATGATCAAGACAAACAATCAAGCATATATTATGATCAAATAATGCTCTCAAACATAGCCAAACAACTAACTTTACTACCTATACTAGGATATGGTCACTCTCTAGCTCTAGTATTTTAATGATCATGAACAACTAGATAAACAAGTTCATGCAATCAATGTCCATTCAACTACACAAAACTTGAGGGCAAGCCAATAAAGATAGAAACTTTAACATGCTAGGATAATGATATACCAAACACAAGCTAAAACCAACTCCAATAATCCATAAAAGCAGAAATTAACACATAGTATTAGGGTTCATCTAATCTAAACGAAAGTAAAGGGTTATTAGCCTATGATTATAGAAAAAACACTCATAATCAAATAGTAATCTAGGATAAACATAGTTAATCTAGGAAAACTGAATGATTAATGATGAATCTTTTACTTCTGTTAAAATATATGAAATATAATTCTTGCAAACTTATTATTGATCATATCCCTTTATGTATCATTTTGAGTTATTTATTTTATAGTTTAGGGTTATTATTGTAAATTATTGGATCTGGTTTGTTATGCTTATTTGCAGGAAGGAATAAAGTTATTACATGATCATTTCATTCGACTGCGGCTTGTTTTGTGTTAAACTCTGTTGACACGCGAATCTTTTCCGGGTCAAATTATTACGGTTCAAAGATAATTCGGTGTGTATTTGATCCATGATTGATCCGAAGTCTATATTCTCGTCTGTATGTGTTAATTAGAGTAATCGAGTCATTTGTTTGGTGTAATTGATATTTGTATAGCTTCTTTTCTCTCTGAAAGATTAGGGTTCTTCGTCTGTTCTTCAGTCTTCGTCTTAATCGAGTGTTAGATTAGGTGTGGGTTGTAGTGAGGATAAATTGTAGAGTGTTGAGTGATCTTATAGAGTTTTTTTTTTTTTTCTGTAAGTTTGTGTAAAACCAATCGGTTCTTATTTGAATGAGAGATGTTGATGTTGTGCAATCTAGTGTTGTTATCAATTTTACGTTTCTTTAGATGGTATCATAACCTCGTTGGCTATTTTTTGGTTTGATTTTGTTCATGAACGTGTTAGGGTTACATGTCTAGGGTTTGTCTTTGAGTTCTTTGTCTAGATCTGGTCTGGCTCGTTGATCTGTTGTCAGATCATGGTTTGTTTGGCTCGATTATGGTTATGATCAAGTTGTACTGGCTTGGTTGCTTTAGATCTGTTATTAGATCTCGATTTCTCTTCTTGATCTGTTTCAGATCTTGTTGTTGGTGGTGTTCACCAACCTGGTAGTTTTTGTTGTCACACATTTGGGAGTAAACGTTGTGATAAAAATAAATGCTTAGGGTTAACGTTTTTGTTAATCATATCGGTCAACACTATCTATACTGGTCAATGTCAAGTCTGTGCAAACAAGGTGTTATTAACAGGTTGGTTGTAACGTCCCATTTTCACACCAAAAACTTTTCATTTTTACTAAGATAAAAGTTCCCAATTTATTAGTCCATTAATTAAGAAAAGCCTTTATTCCGAGTTACATTTATTAAAAATCAGAGTATTGTAGAAACACAAAATCTTCAATGTCGCTGATGAATGTGTACAGTCCCGCCTTAGCCTTCCAACAATAACCGATGAAACCTGAAACCATAAATAACTGGGTAAGCATAAAGCTTAGCGACTTTCACCCAAAATACCACTATATAAACAGATCACATATACAATCAAACATGTCGGGTCCAGT